TTAGTTTTTCAAGACAGAGTTTCTCTATATAACAGTACAGCTGTCCTGGAACTGGATTTGTAGACCAGGCTGGCCTCAAACTCACAAGATCCACCTGCCTCTGCCTCCAGAGTGCTGGGATTAAAGGCATGTGCCACCACCGCCTGGCCCAAGTAGATTCTTTTGTAAGATCCATGACCTCACTAGCTCTGGGAAGATAGCTAGGTTTCCAGTACCAGGCATGATGTCTCTCCTGTGGAGTGGGCCTTAGGTCCAATTAGACAGCTGCTGGTTGCCACCAACAATGTGAGGGCCATTTATTGCACCTTTGTGATATCCTGTCATGCTGATCATTGTTGTGGTCCGTTGGTGTCATAGCTTGGTATGACTTTTAACCACTTCCCACCCTTGACAGCTTGCAGAGGACATTCTGGTATTGCAGAAGCTAGACTGTAGAAAGGAAACTTTCTAGGTTAGGTCCAGATCAATAGCCCCGAGTGCTGGGTTCTAAATCTTAAGCAACAGGGGCTTAACTGCATCCAAAGGTGACAGGTAGAGTCTGACCAACAACTTAAAAGATTTCTTGTGATTGGTACTGGTTTTGTGGACTGTGTTTGTGAGCATTGTCAGTCCAAGTGACAGAATACTTCATATATAGTACGTATATAATATATAATATACACACATATAACACATATATAATTTGTATCATCACACATATATACACACACCCCAACTCACCCCCATGGTCCTAGTCCCAGCTAGCAGTGTTTTAAACTGTTTTGCAGTTCTCTCTGGCTCTCCTGCACCAGTGCATTTTCAACACGAGGAAAAACAAACAGCGGCTGGGATCTTTACTCTTTAATTGTGAGTCTAGTGACTTTAAGAAGGAAAAGCAGCATTGGTGACACTTGGGTGGATGCTCTGAACAGACTGGGACTTCCAGCCATTCTCAGCCACATTGGCACTGATCCTGGTGTGGATTACCACTGTGTAACCACAGGAAAGTTCTACATGGCCAGGAATCTGCATGCCAGGAGCAAGGGCAGCTGTTACTAGCTGGCATGCTATTAGGACTACAGGCCCCTTCGAGACACTGACACTAAACTAAACTTTGTTAGTTCCTAGTCCTTGATGCCTATTGTTCCGAGGTCGGGTCTCTGTAGGTCACCTGGCTGTTTTCTGATCTTGTCCTTCTGTGGCTTCTCCCGAGGGCTGCAGTGTAGGCATGCACCATACCTGCAATCCCGGACATCTGTACACCTGAGGTTTCAGTTTTGTTTTGAGACATAACTAGTTTGCCCTGGAACTAGTTCTGTAGACCAGGCTGGCCTTGAACTCAGAGATCTGCCTGCCTCTGCCTCCTGAGTGCTGGGATTAAAGGTGTGTGCCACCACCACCTGGCAACACAGTGTCTTATGTAGCCCTGGCTGGTTTGAACTTTGTATATGTAGAGCAGACTGGCCTTGAACTCAGATCTGTCTGCCTCTAAGTGCTGAAATTAAGAAGTGTGAGCCAAAGGCACCCAACCATCCATGTTTATTTTAAGACAGCTCTGCTCTCATGCCTCTGGTGTCTCATTGTTGCTTCCTTGGTCAGGAACCATGTTTCCCTCTAAGAAAATGCAGCTGCACCACAGCCAGCATTGTGGATGCTGGCACAGGCCAGTGTGAGACCCTGGGGGTCCTGCTCACTCGTCCCTGGGGGCAGTCTTTGATCCCCTACACACAGGCCAGATGACTTCCTTTCTGTCTCTTAGCACACATCTGCTAGGTTGATTTTATGTGCCTGTCATAGATAATACCTGTGGGCTTTTATATTCTTTATGGTTAGGTTCTGCCCTTCTTAGAACTGGGTCAATCTAGGCTGCTTATATGCCCATTTGGGGACAGCTCCTCTGTGTCCCTGTGCCATGAGGAAGGTTCTATGCCCTGGAGGGTGTGCAGGCGGTGGCAGTCCTCTGTTCTAGACACTAGGTGACAGACAGGCTTGTCTGTCAGTGTTTAAAGGGGTCCTCCCCTAGCTGTTGCAGTTAGGACACTGTGTCCTACACAGCAGTGTGTGGTACAGAATGTGAGGCCACTTTTATTTATTTTTGAGCTTTCCCTGGTTTTATTTGCCTTCTCTAAGTTGCAATCATTCCACTCTACCCAAAGCCTGTAAGGGGCAGAGGGACTTGTCAGAGACATGTTTGCCGTACCTGCCCTCTGAGCACTCGCTGGCAGAAGGTGTTTTTCTAAACCTTGTAGCCAGCTTTGGCATTCTGGAGCAGGTTTGTTGGCACAGGACTGGTGGCGGCAGCAGGAACAGAGCATCGTGTCTGCCTCGCTTGGATTCTGCCTGGAGGATGCACAATCTGTCCTCCCTGTCCATACTGAGCGCATGAGCAGTAACAGGGGAAGCCTGGCCTCTAGCCTGTCTCGGCACAGCCTGGGACCCTGGAAGACAATCCTGCTGCAAATCAAGCTCAGGAAGGCTGGTAGCCTCATGGATGGCAGGATCACTTGGGACAACACAGACTCTGTCTCCTAACTAGGCAATGAGATAGCCATGTGGAGATTGGAGTAGAGAGTCCCCAGCATTAAGTTGTATTGAGTTGTACATTTATTGCCACAGCGACTTTGTTCTTTAGAATTCTGCCAAGGGAAAGACCTCAACACACATGTCTCCTTACATCACCACCTCTGCCTCTGCAGGGTGCACTTGCACCTCAGACCCTCTGTGGACCCCTGTGGCATGGACCAGCTCTCAGTGTGGAGCTCCAAGGGGCAGCACTCTGAGCACTTCAGCCTTGATGGGGTGTCCTGGGTGGCATGGTTCTCAGACTGCCCCTGACCCACAGCAGCACTTAGGAAGCAAGTTCTCCAGTCCTGCTCAGAACCACACAAGCTGGGGCTCAGGGGTCCAAGTCCTGACAAACCTCCCAGGGAGTCTGATAGGAAAATCGCTGCATTGTGGCAGAACTGAACCTGGCTTTGGGTACAGTATAAGGTCTCATGAAAGCTAGGCTGCCCTTGGGTTGCTGCACAGCTGAGGATGATCTTGAACTTCTGATCTTCCTGCCTCCATCTCCCAAGTGCTGTGATTACAGACATGAGCCAGAGCCACTTACGTGTATGATTGCCTGGCTAGATGTATGTATGTTGCATGCACTATGTGCTGGCCTGGTGCCCATGAGGGCATCATATCCCTCTTAGAACTGGAATCAAGTTTGTCAGATGCCTTATGGGTACTGGAACTGCTCCCTAATCCCTCTCAAGAGCAGGCCATAGAGCTCTTAACTGCCAACCCTATGGTGGTGCTGGTGATTTTACATGGTTAGCTTGTTGGGGGAGGCATACCACAGATTCATGTATGAATGTCCACCATATAGGCTCTGGGGAAAGAAGTCAGGTCCTGCAGCCCAGTAGAAAGCATCTGTACCTGCTAAGCCATCTTGCCAGCCCCAGAACTAACTTTTTCACAGAACTAAATCCTAGCCCCTGCATTTTCTTTTAAACTACTGTATTATATTCTCTTTTCTTTTGCTGGTTTGCAGTGGAGGTAAGGTCACACGGTGTAGCCCAGATTGCCCTTGAATTTAGGATCCTTCTGCCCCAGGCTCCCAACGCTGTGATTGTGGTTTGCCTCACCATGCCCAGCTTTCCAAACTATCTGAAAGGGTTGAACCTACATGTCATGTAAGTCTTTACTCCTAGGTATTTTACCAAGGGAGGGTGTTTGTTCACAGAAAGGTCTGCCCCTGTACATTTGTATGGTGCTTTACTGACAATAACCTTAAGCTGGATACAATCCAGAATTCATCAGTAGGTGAGCAGATAAAAGATCACATGGTGTATTTACATTGCATAGTACTTCTCAGCAATACAAATGGAGTTATGCCCGGTATCACTGATGACTCTCATATTCTGCTCAAAGGAGTCAGACACCTTCAAAGTTACAGAACTCTTATAGACAACTTCAAAGCTATGGGTGGTGGCACATGCATGTAATCCCATACTCAAGAGACTGAGGCAGGAGGATTAAGAATGTGAGACCAGCTGGGTGGTGGCACATAACTTTAATCCCAGCACTCATGAGGCAGAGGCAGGTAGAGCTGAGTTTGAGGTCAGCCTGGTCTACAGAGTGAGTTCCAGGACAGCCAGGGCTACACAGAGAAACCCTGTCTCAAAAAAAAAAAAAAAAAAAAGTTTGAGATCAACCTAGGCTGCATAGGTGGCACAAGGCTAGCTAGTAATTAGCCAATGCTGCCTAGTAAGATTCTCTCAAACCCACACAACTCAAAATATAAAATGAGGATGGAAGGCAAAGAGGAATGGATTGTGAAGTAACATGAGGATATTGAGCAGGATACGTCGGTGTTATTTTGAAGGTCCTGGGTCTGGAGTGTTTATCAAAACTATCAAGTGACTTGTGGTTATGTCAGTTTACACATTAACATGTGAGCAAAGCTGTAAGGGAACATGTAAGTGTGATGTTTGTGTGGGTGAGGCGGGGCATTTGCGTGGGAGGAGACGTCCTTGCTGGAGAGACATGGTGTTTGTCAGTCTACAGAGTAGACAGAGGCTGAAATGCGGGAAAGGATGAACTTTCAAGCTTGCTCTCCTCAACAGCAGGGCAACCCCACACCACACCATCTTGCCACCCCTGTTCTTGCTTCTCTGTCCTTCTTGCTGTGACTTCAGGCCCAGGTCATGTTCCTAGGGTGACAGCAGGTACCAAGAAGAGGCTGAGCCACAGTCTATGGGAATGCCTTCAGTAGTTATCATGTGATGTGGTCCCTGAATTACCTTTGTCTTCATCATTGCCAAAACTGAACCTAGTGCTTGCAGACTCTGGGCTTCTGTCCCTGAGACTAGTTGGTGCATTCTTTAAGTCACACCAGAAATGTTCCGCAGACCTCTGCTTTCAAGATCCATTCTACATTTGATTTTAGCAGCAAAAACCCAGGAGGAATCCCATGGGTTTCTGACTTGCTCCATCCTTCTCTCTTTGTCTTCCTGCAGATCTGATTTGTACACAGTGTAACTACTGTTTACCTAAGACCTTCTGGATCCAGACCAAAGGCTCCAGCTCACGGGACTCCTCAGCAGGTGAGTACCATGGTGCTGTCACTACACAAGCAGGGGTGTTTGACTGAGCCTTAGGATTTGCCCTGCCCCCAGGCAGGTGTTACACACTTGTCAGGATGCACAAACCATGAAACATGTATGTCTGAAATCTCAGGAGACCAATAATTAAAATAATTATCTTTTCCTTGTTGAGACATGGTCTCACTGAGTAGCACAGGCTAGGCTGGGACTTGCAATCCCCTGCCTGGCATATGCTACCATACTGAGCTCAATAATTTCCTCTTCTGTTAGAAATATACACTGACATTTTACACTGAACATTTTACTAATGAGAAAACATAGCCCAGATAGTGAACTAAATCGATGTTAAAACTCTAGCATATCCCTGAACCCAGCAGAATTCACTTGGGAGCTTAGAATTGGCAGGAGGGAGTAAGGTTATCATTTACATTATCCAGGGTCAGCTCAGATAAATTCCTAGGTAGCTGACTGACAGTAAAACAAAAAATTTGAAGAGAATGACCTTCAAGGCTGAGGATTTAACTCCCTTGGTACTTATTAGCATGTTTGAGGCAGGCCCTGCGTCATTCTCCCACAATGTATACATACAAATGCACACACAATGACTGTGCCTTCAAATTGCCTGGAATTATTTCTATGGAAATGCCTCACACAGTACTTTACCCACATTTATTTGGACTCCCAAAGTATTCATGTATTATAAAAATTATAAGGAATAGGCATCTATGGGCTGGTGAGATGGCTCAGCAGGTAAAGGTGCTTGCTGCCAAGCTTGAAGATCTGAGACCCCGATGGTAGAAGGAGAGAACCCAACCATTACAAGTTGTCCCCTGAACTCTCACATATACACACAGACATCCCATACAATATATATATATAAAAGGATTTTTAAGCCAGGCGGTGGTGGTGCACACCTTTAATCCCAGTACTCAAGAAGCAAAGGCAGGGGGATCTCTGAGTTCAAGGCCAGCCTGGTCTACAAAGTGAGTTCCAGGATAGACTCCAAAGCTACACAGACAAACCCTGTTTTGAAAAACCAAAGTAAATAAAGTAGAAAGTATTTTTTAAATGGTAAAGAACAAAGATGGCTTGGCTTTTTTCTAGCTTCCAGTCTGGTTTTGGTATTTCATTAAGGCAGTTTAACTACACTGAAAAGACAACTGGCTTTTTCTAAGCCAAGTTACTATTCTGTTCACAAAGCTAAATACAGTTGAAAGAGAAGTTCCCCCTTTTCCTAGAAAAGACAATGTATTTTTCCCCCTAAGGCTAGTTATTGTTCTGCCTGATGTAACATCATTTTCATATTCCTTCTTCACAAAGTCTCAGTATCCAGAATTAGGTTTAGGAAAACATGGCAGTGAGCAGTACAGGACACCATGGCTCCAGAGCGCAACATTCTGGGTTTCTGGGCAGGGGACGGTAACTTAGTGATGATCTTGCCTAACCAGCTTGAGTCTGAGTTTGATCCCAACACTGAAAAAGCCAAGGATGCCCCTCCTTCAGCAGGATTCTGCCAGATGGCTCTTCAGGAACCACTTAGCATGTTTTCTGTCTTTAAAACTTTCCTAAAAATAGGGTGACTATTTTCACTGGAGGGCTTAAAAAAAAAAAAAAAGCATAGTTTTATATTGATTTTTACATATTGGCATTGCAGGCTCCATTTCCTAATAGTCAATACTTCCTACAAAGAATGCACTCTGCCTTAGGAAATAACTTCTGAATTCTTTCCTTCCCTCAAGCACAGGAGGCAGCTATGAGAAATAAATAACACAGTTCTGACAGATACCTGTATCTTACAGGAAGAAGGCTGCAGTCTTGAATCCCTAGTGGAGGACGGACTCTATCATTCTCTGTGGTCTTACCCTGATGATGAAAGTGTGACTGCTGGCATCTTCATGAGCTCCAGAGGTCACAGCACGCTCCCACGGACTCTCATGGCTCCTCGGATGATTTCCGAGGGAGACATAGGAGGCATTGCTCAGATCACCTCCTCTCTCTTCTTGGGCAGAGGCAGTGTGGCCTCCAACCGGCACCTCCTCCAGGCCCGGGGCATCACCTGCATCGTGAATGCTACCATCGAGATCCCCAACTTCAACTGGCCCCAGTTTGAATATGTTAAAGTGCCTCTGGCTGACATTCCTCATGCCCCCATTAGACTGTACTTTGACACTGTGGCCGACAAGATTCACAGCGTGAGCAAGAAGCATGGGGCTACCTTGGTGCACTGTGCTGCAGGTGTGAGCCGCTCGGCCACCCTCTGTATTGCATACCTGATGAAATTCCACAATGTGTGCCTGTTGGAGGCATACAACTGGGTGAAAGCCCGAAGGCCTGTCATCAGGCCCAACGTGGGCTTCTGGAGGCAGCTGATAGACTACGAGAGCCAGCTCTTCGGGAAGTCGACAGTTAAGATGGTACAGACACCCTATGGCGTCATTCCAGATGTTTATGAGAAGGAGTCCCGACACCTGATGCCTTACTGGGGGCTTTAGTGTTGCCACAGCTGGCATCCACAGCCCCTCAGCAGTACCAGCATCTGCCACACACAGTCTCCTCCCCTCTGACTCTCTCTGGTTCTCCCGAGAGTGTTTCTACACTTGTGTCCAGGTTTAAAAGACAGGGAGGGGAAATACATACATTGCTAGTAATGTTTTTTAAAACTAGCATTTTGAAATAGCAAACATGAAAACCTTCAACTGGCCTTTACTCATTTATAACAGTGTAGGATACTGTTCCTGCTTTCTTTCTGGCTCCCAAGCCTTTTGGAGCCTTGGCAGGTGCAGGAGGAGTTCACTTCAACGATCACTTAGGGCCCTGATTAATCCTCTAGAGACTAGTTTTGCCCATGGCTTGCTGGCTGGACTGATGTTTAGGGGATATCAAGGCCAGCTCAGTCTCGATTAGCTTGGTCCTTTCTTTTCTTCTGTTATTTAGCGATTCTATAAGTTAACTTAACCATTGTTATTTAGTTGATAAGTAATTATGATGAATCTGTTGCAAAGACCCTCTTGAAATCAGTGTGCCCTGGGATTATATTAGCATTATTTTTAATAAACCTATCTGCTTAACATAAGCCCTTTACTGATGATTTCAAGTGTGTGTATGTATGTGTGTGCACGTGTGTGTGTGCACGTGAAAGAGAGATGTTCTCCAGTCATTGTTCAATTGTGGCCATTAGGACAGTCATGGTCAGCACTTAAAATAGAAACAGTATAGAGTAGGTGTGTCCAACCTGCTCATAAGCAGTAAGATCCCAGGATAGCTGTGAATGTGGCCCCACATTATAGCAGATAAAGTCTTGTCACAATGTCAAAAGGTTGAGCACCCCGGTGGTGAGCGCTCATGCGCATGTGTGCATGCACACATGCACACACACACACACACACACACACACACACACACGCACACACACACACACTGATAAAAGGTGCTGCGTTCCATTTTGTCTTGGTAAATCAAAAGTGTACCAAAGTGTCAAAGTTCACCATGAAAGAAACAGAAGATAGCCAGGCAGTGATGGTGAACACCTTTAATTCTGGCACTTGGGAGGATCTCGGAGTTCGAGGCCAGTGTGATCTACAGAGCTAGTTCCAGGACAGCCAGGGCTACATAAAAAAATTCTGTCTTGAAAAAACAAAAACCAAAAAAACCCAGAAGACATGCCTTTGCTCACACAGTAACACAAAACTCCAGCATAAGCACACATTATCTAAATAGTTTTTCTGGGAAATCAGAGGAGCATACATGTAGCATTAGCACATGACCAAGAGTAATCCAAAGGGACTGGCTTTAGTGTGAAGCCAAGCTTTAAGTCAGGCAGTCTCTGAATAGGAGCCCCATAGTAATCGCTGCACTGTAGAAAGATACTTGCTGACATTCTTTGTAAGTAGGAAAAACTTCCCTGTGAAAATCCTGGCAAGGGCTGAGGGGACGGCTTGGCTGGTAAAGTGCTTGCTGTGCACACACAAGGACCCGAGTTCATGCCAGGTGTGCACTCCAGTCCCTCAGCCAATCCCCCAGGGTCATCCCCAGCTCTGCAGCAGGGCATGTCTACAGGGATTCCCCCTGCCCCCATCTCCAGGGGATCACACAGATTCCCTTCCTGACTCCCTCCCCTCACTCAATGCTTTATTCCCACCATCTTAGTAGCCTGGGAACCCACAGGCTACGCTATCAGGGGAAGCAAGCAGGCTCAGTGCTCAGCTTCACCTCTTCCTCTATCCCTGAAAAGTCCAATCGCCCAGTCTCATTCCCAGCTCTGTAGCAGACCTTTTGTTATGGCTCTCCTCGTTCTCTCCCCATTCCCAGGGGTCTAAGTAGACTTCGGTAGAACACCCTGCTTTCCTCCCTCCTGTGGACCACCCCCTCTCCAGCCCATCTCAATTCCTAAGTGTCAGCTCCCAATACCCAGAAACCATTTGACCTGGAACTACCAGTGGCCACACCTAATCAGGATCTGAGAAGAATTTCCCATCAGGTTAACAACTCTCCTAAGAGCTGGAGAGGACAACAGAAACCAAGGAACCCACCCAACAAAGACAAGACCAGATAGCTTTCCAATCCCAAATGCTTAACAGCTCCACTAGAGCCTGGAAACCCTACCACCTCAGGTATTCCAACATAGGTGAAGCACAAGAGAAAAAAAAATCTTAAAATAGCCTTTATGTGTTAGAGGTCCTTAAAGAGGAAATTAATAAATCCTTACCATCTATGAAAACACAAACAATGGGAGGGAATGAAAAAAACTAAAACAGTTCAAGACCTGAAAGTGGAAAAATAAGAAAACCCAAATGGAGGGAACTCTAGAAATGAAAATTGTAGGAACTAGAACAGGAATCACAGAGACAAGCCTTGCCAATACAATACAAGAGGTGGAAGAGAGAATCTCAGGTGTTGAAGACACCTGTTGAAGACACGATATCTCAGTGAAAGAAAATGTTAAAATAAATGTAAAAAAATCCTGACACAAGACATCCAGGAAATATAGGACACTAAGATCCAATCTAGAAACAAAGGAGAAGGAACTCACGTCAAAGTTACAGAAAAATATTAACAAAAGCATAGAGGAAGATTTCCCTACCCTAAAGAAGGAGATGCCTATTAAGATACAAGAAGCATACAGAACTCCAAATCAACTGGGCCAGAAAAGAAATGCCCCTTGCCACATAATAAAACACTGAATGTACAGAATAGGGAATTAAAGCTTCGAGGGGAAAGGACCAAATAGCATATAAAGCACCACAGACTCTAAGAGACTACCCATGAAAGGGACAGTTCAGACTACTATACCTATCAACATTTTCAGTCACCATAGATGGAGAAAATGATAAAACCAAATTTAAGCAATTTTCTATCTATAAACCCAGCCCTACAGAAGGCCCTAGCAGGAAAATTCTAACCCAAAGAGGTTAACTATGCTAGGTGGTGGTGGTGTACGGAGTTAATCACAGCACTCAAGAGGCAGAGGCAGGCAGGTCTGAGTTTGAGACTAGCCTGGTCTACAGAGTTCCAGGACAGCCAGGGTTACATAGAGAAACCCTGTCTGGGAGAAACAAAACAGAACAAAAACAAAGAAGTTAACTACATCCAAGAAAAACCATCGAATAAAAGGGAATGAATAATCCCAGACCAGCAAATCAGAACAGGGGAAGCACACATCCATACACAACAACAACAAAATAACAGGAATCAACAATACTGCTCATAGATCTCTCTCAACATCGATGATTTCAAATTCCCAGTAAAAGGATAGACGAACAGAATATATGTAAAAACAGGATCCATCCTTTTGCTGTATCTCAGAAATACACCTTAATATCAATGATAGACATTATCTAGGTAAAATGATGGGAAAGCATGTTTCAAGCAAATGGACCCAAGAAGCAAGCTGGTGTAGCCATTTTAATACCTGAAAAAACAGACTTCAAAACTGACCAGAAGAGATAGAGAAGGACACTACATACTCAAAGGAAAAATCCCTCAAGACAACACTGCAATTCTTCACATTTATGCACCAAACACAAGGGCATCCAAGTTAGTAAAGAAACACCACTACAACTTAAACCACACGTCGGCCCTCACACATCAATAGAGGCAGACTTCAGTATCCTTCGTCCATAGACTGGTTGTCCAGACAAAAATAAACACAGGTTGGAGCTAACTGGCGTTGTAAACCCAATGGACTTTTGGACAGATATTTATAGAATATTTCACCCAAAAACAAAAGAATATACCTTCTGCTCAGCACCTCATAGAACTTTCTCAAAACTGACCACATATTGAGATGCAAAGCAAGTTTCAATAGATAAAAAAATTGAAGGAGGCTAGATCGATGGCTCAGAAGTTAAGGGCATCGGCTGCTCTTCTAGAGGACCCGGGTTCAGTTCTCAGCACCCAGCTGTCATTAACTCCAATTCCAGATGATCCAACACTCATATAGGCAGAACACCAATGCACATAGGATTTAAAAAAAAAAAAAGAATATTGAAATAAATGCCTGCATTCTATCTGACCACCATGGATTAAAGCTAGATATCAACAACAGAAACAAAACCTTACAAACTTATGGAGAGCGAACAACTCACTCCTGAATGAAGAATGCATCAAGATAGAAATTCAGAAAGAAATTAAAGACTTTCTAGAACTGAATGAAAATGAATAAGCTGGGCAGTGGTAGTGCAGGTGGATCTCTGTGAATTTGGTGCCAGCCTGGTCTGCAGATTGAGTTCCAGGACAGGCTCCAAAGCTGCAGAGAGAAACCCTGTCTCAAAACAAAACAAAACAAAACAAAACAGGAAAGCATTGCTTTCGGTTTCAGTTTCAGAGGTTATTGTTGTGACAGGGAGCATGGCAAACATGGTACTGGATACTGGAGAGAGAGAGAGCTGAGAGCTACATCCTGATCTATAGGCCAAGAGAGGGAGAGATGAAAGGGAACTGGGCCTGGCTTGGGGTTTTGAAATTTCTTAGTCAAACCTCCACAACAGAGTTCTCAAAAGAGGAGTCTTGAAAGGCCGAGAAACACTTAAATATTCAGCAGCCTTACCAATCAGGGAAATGCTAATCAAAAGTGCTTTGAGGTTTCATCTTAAACCTGTCAGAATGGCTGAGATGAATAAAGCAAGTGACAGCTGGCACTGGTGAGGATGTAGAGTAAGGGAACACTCAGCCCTTCCTTGACAATGGGAGTGCAAACTGGGACAATCACTATGGACGTCAGCGTGGTGGCTCTTCAGAAAGATGGGAATCTACCCCAAGACCCAGCTATACCACTCTTGGGCATATGCCCAAAAGACTTCATCCTACCATGGAAACACTTGCTCAAACACGTTCGTTGCCGCTCTATTCATAACAGCCAGAAATTGGGAACAACCTAGAGGTCTCTAAACAGAAAAATGGATAAAGAAAAAGTGGTGCAGTTACACAATGGAGACAATGGAGTATTACCCAATCATTAAAAAAAAAATAAAATCCACAGGTAATCAATGGAAGCAGGAAAAAAATCCTTACTGAGGTAACCCAGACACAGAAAGACAAATATGGTAAGAACTCATTTTTATGTTGATTATGTTGTTGATTGTGTTTTATACTCTTTTGGCTTTTTTGAGAGGCCCACCACCCAGCTCCCAAATAAATCACAACATGGAGGATTATTCCTTCTTATAAATCCCTGGCCTTGGCTTGTTGCTAGCCAGCTCCTTTTCTCTCTGGGCTTTTACCTTTCTTATTTCTGTAAATCTTACTTTCCTTCTTACTCCGTGGCTGGCTGGGTGGCTGGGTGGCCCTGATGTCCTCCTCTCCTTATTCTCTCCTTGCTCCTTCTCTTCCTCGTTTCTCCTTCTGTTTATTCTCTCTGCCTGCCAGCCCCACCTACCCTTGCTCCTGCCTCGCTATTGGCCATCAGCTCTTTATTAGGCCATCAGGTGATTTAAACAGGCACAGTAACACAGCTTCATAGAGTTAAGCAAATACAGCATAAACAAAAGTCACACACCTTAAAATAATATTCTACCACAGTGGATATTAGCTGTTAACAATAGTTAAGCTACAGTCCATAGAACCACAGAGATGAGG